CTCAAGCTGTCCCCCTGGGTAGAGTGCTATGGCTTCACTGCTCACAGCAACCTCCAACTCCTGGGCTCAAGCGAGTCTCCTGCCTCCACCTCCCAAGTAGTTGGGACCACAGGTGCCCGTCACAACGCCTGGCTATTTTTTTGGTTGCAGCCATCATTGTTGTTTGGCAGGTCCAGGCTGGATTTGAACCTGCCACCTTAGGTGTACGTGGCTGGTGCCTTAGCCGCTTGAGCCACAGGCGCCGAGCCGAAGTTGTCGTCGTTTTAGCTGACCCCGGCCAAATTTGAACCCACCAGCCTGGGTGTATGTGGCCGGTGCCCTACCAATTGAGCTATGGGCATTGCTGAAACTCAAACCTTTTGGGAAAAAATTTTCTCTTAGCTAGACTGCCAGGAAAGTGAGGGATGGTTGCTGGCCCATCGGGTTTTAGATCCTTAAGTGGTTCAATTCATGGGAAAAGAATGGTAGCAAGTAGGTGGCAGGGCTGTGCCTAGAGCTGGAGTCTCTTGATTATTTTCTGCTCTACACCCCAAGGAAACTTCCTAACAATTCTAAAACTGTGTTTCAGATCATTTCCCAGAAATAAGCCATTCTTCTATGTCTAACCCATTCCTGAGTTTCTTTTTAGATCCTCTTGTAAATCTGAATTCTCTGATATAATAAATATTACCTAATGTTTAAAAACTTATTCAAATATAAAATCTAATACTTTATGAGTATTTGCTATGTTCAGGCACTGTACTTGATGCTTTACAAGTTTTAACTCTCTGGGCGGCGACTGTAGCTCAAAGGAGTAGGGCACTGGACCCCGTATGTTGGACCAAGTGGTGGGTTCAAACCCAGCCCTGGCCAAAAACTGGGGGAAAAAAAAAAAAAAAAACAAGTTTTAACTCTCCATCATAGCAATGTGTGGGACAGATAGTATTTTTTTTTTTTTTTTTTTGAGACAGAGCCTCAAGCTGTACCCCTGGGTAGAGTGCTGTGGCATCACAGCTCACAGTAACCTCCAACTCCTGGGCTCAAGCGAGTCTCCCACCTTTGCCTCCCAAGTAGCTGGGACCACAGGCACCCGCCGCAACACCAGGCTATTTTTTTTTTTGGTTGCAGCCATCATTGTTGTTTGGCAGGTTCGGGCTGGATTCGAACCTGCCACCTTCGGTGTATGTGACTGGCGCCCCAGCCACCCGAGCCACAGGTGCCGAGCCAACAGATAGTATTATTATCCCCACTTTACGGATGAGAAAGCTGAGGCAGAGGTAATATGACACAGGTAACAACTAGTAGACTCTCTTATAATGGTACCCTCTTCATTCCCTATATTGTGTCCACTTGCTTAGATTATCTTTGGTTGTTCCCATGTCCCCAACTTGGATAGGGAGGAGTGAGTGGTAGATATTTCCCTTCCTCCTACAAAACACTTGAGCATTGGTTGTGCTGCCTGTATTATAGTCAGTCAGTAATTTCTAAAGTTCTCCCTCTCACCCACTTACCATTGGCCCATGCAAGTCCTTTATAGACTGACCCTCTTCTAGACTTTTAGAAAGATCTTCTACGAGCTTAACTCAAGAAGTGCTGAGTGGAGAATTGAAGAAGTTGTCAGAAGGCCTGGAAGGCACCAAGCACAGTAACATAATGAAGCTCCTTCGACTGGCCCTCAGTGGACAGACGGTGAGGTGGGGAGATGGGCTGCGCTGTTACCCTGAGCCCCTCCTTTATCCTTTCAGCTGACATATTCTGGCAGGTACTGAGCTCAGTTTAGGGGATACAAAGATGAATGAAATGTGATCACTCCCTCATTCAGTCAGCAGACACTAATTATCGAGTATCTACTAAGTGCTAGCTATAGTAGATACAATAGTAAACAAAACACATGGTAGGCAGCGCCTGTGACTCACGGAGTAGGGTGCTGGCCCCATATGCTGAGGATGGCGGGTTCAAGCCCAGCCCCAGCCAAAACACACACACACACACGGGATTTTGCAGTTTCCTAGAGGTAACAGACCTATCAATAACTTACTTAATATGGGAAAAGCCAGCTCTTGAGAGCCATCCTATCCAGGGGAGTTAACGACCAAAACAGTAAGCTATCCTCCTTGGGGTGCAGGCAGCAGTGTTGGGGTGGGTCTGAGGATAACTTCCAGACACAGACTGAGCATGAGATCTTTTATGCAGAGTATGACAGTGTAGCAACATTTTCTCTTTTTGTTCTTAGCAAGGACCTCCTGTTGCTGAGATGATGGTGTCCTTGGGACCAAAGGAAGTGCGGGAACGAATCCAGAAGGTGCTTTCCAGCTAGAGAGAGGATGTGCAGGATGGTGCATATGGCCCTAGGAATCTGCGCCCTTGAGAACTGTCTCCAGAGAAGAGAAGGAGGCCTGAGGCCCAGGAAGAAGCTCACAGAAGGAACTAAGCATGGAAACAGAATTTGACTACACACTGCATATGTAGGGCTCCACAGTGGGCCTGGCCTTGACACTTGGCTAGTAAAGCCCAACCTATCTCCCCTCCTTGACTCTGGAAGGAAGGCCTGCTGTCTGTTTTTTGAGACAGTCTCACTAGTCACCTGGGGTTGAGTGCCATGGCATCATACCACATAGCAATCTCAATTGGGCTCAAGTGATAATCTTTCCTCAGCCTCCCAAGTAGCTGGGACTATAGGTGCCTGCCACAAGGCCCGGCTGTTTTTGAGATGGGGTCTCACTCTAGCTCGGGCTGGTCTCAAACTCCTTAGCTCACCTACTTCAGCATCTCAAACTGCCGAGATTACAGGCATGAGCCACTGCACCAGGCCTCCGCTACTTCTTTTTACAGATGGGGTCTTGCTCTTGCTCATGCAAGTCCTCAAAACTTCTGAGATCAGGCAGTCCACCTGCCTCAGCCTCCCAGAGTGCTGGGATTACAGGTGTGAGCCACCGAGCCCAGCCTCTGTCTGGTTTTTGATACATTACATAACAGAAGTTAGGAGTTAGTTCACAGAAAAGTTAATATCCCAGAGCAGTCCAGACAGCTTGGGTATTAGTTGGCTAGAACTGCCATAACAATATCCTATAGAGCTAGGTGGCTTAAGAACCAGAGATTTTCTCTCAGTTCTAGAGGCAAGAAGTCTAAGATCTAGGAGTTAGCCGCAGTGGTCTTCCTCCATACATAAACATCCCTGATATCTCTTTCTGGGTCCGGAATTGTCAGGATACCTGTCAGATTAGATTAGCTGCTCACCCTGGCAGCTTCATTTTAACATGATCACTTCTTTAAAGGCTCTATCTCCAAATATAGTCACAGTCTGAGGTCTGAGGGGTTACTTCAGCATAAGAATTGGAGTGGGCAAGATTCAGCCCCTAACAGCTCAGCAGGACTGAACTGGACACCGAACTTTACTCTGAAAGCCGTAAAGAGAGAAGTAAGTTAATCTAAGTGTAAGTGCTCGTGTTTTATGCTCGTCTTTGTCCTTGGGGTAGACTGTTTCCTTTCCCGAAAGGTTATTGGTTCCCGTTCTTCAGACCTGGTTCTTGGACTGGAGACCTTTTCCCTTCCTATTTTGTGGCTTTTTCTTCAAATCCACTTCTTTCCACCTTTATTTGTAAGTCATTATCTACAAATTTCTGAAAGGAGGTGTTCTCTTTAGGGTCTTCTGTGAATAGGAATAAAGTGAAGGGAGGATGTTGCTGAGGGACAAAATGCCCTCCGAGGCTTTTTAGCTTCCCCTGCATGGCACTCAGCCTCTGAGATGGCCCCCAGTGATTCCTATCTCCTAGTACACCCTTGTGTGGTTCCTTCCCTTACTGATGAGGGGTGACTTATGTGACCTGTAAGCTATTGAGAAAATGATACGAGTCCTACTGGCTAGAGGGACATGGAGGGAGGGGGCCATAGTCCTCAGTCTCCATGTCCTGCCCACTGTGGATTCCCCCAGCCTGTCGGGAAGGTCTTTCCCAGCTGAACCCCGTAGGAGGAGAGTGGTTCTGAGCCCAAGTCTAAGGGACAGTCTGCAAGCATCCTTCACCACAAATCCCTACCCAGGTATCAGCACCCGAGAGAAACTGGCAGAGCAAATGGGCAGAGCCTCGGATCCAGATTTGGTTCCAAAACCGGAGAAGGCTGCTCCTGAAGCAGAAGCAACTGGAAGCTGAGCCTTGGTCCCCTGCCCTGAGAAGAGCGGCGAAAACACACAGCCATCATGGCCTGGCAGACCGCTGTCCTCATTGGAGCCTTCCAGAGCAACCGCTTTCCCGGAATTGCCACCAGGGAGGCACTAGCCAGACAGACAGACCTCCCAGAGTCCAGAATTCACATTTGGTTTCAGAACCAAAGGGCCTGACATCCAGAGCGCCAGGAACCAAGGCTCCCGGCACTTAAGCCTGCCCAGGCTGGGCCCACAGTGGACCCCAGCGCTCAGCCTCCCCTGGCACTAGGGAGTCCCCCAATGGCGACAGCAGCACGCTCTCACCTGTGGCCTCTGTCCCAAGGACATGGTCAGGGCCACGCTGGCAGGTGCACACTGCCTGAGACAGCCTGGGATCTGCTCAGCAAGCGGCTACCTACCCTGGGCTGGGTCCAGGGGCCCCAGGCTGTCCAGGCTCTGTGTCTGCCTGGAAAAGCGCTGGCAGCCCCTCTGCAGCCCACACCTGGTCAGTTTCCACCGGGGCAGGAGCAGACTTCAGCCATTGGGAAGCCCGGTCCTGGCTCCCAGGAGACCCCTGGGAAACCCAAGCGAGATTCCTGCCTCGGTGCCGGAGTTTCAGGCTGTGGCACGACCCTTTGTGGATCTGGATGCACAGGAGGAGGACCTGCCAGAACCAGAACCACCCCTGGGCCAGGAAGAATTTTAGGCTCTTCTGGATGAGCTGCAGAGCTTACCAGGGCCTCAGCTGTAAGGGGAGATAGGCATCCTCAACCCCAGCCCTGCCCCTGCCCCATGGCCACCACCCCAGGGACCTGCTGTCCCTGCCCTGGCAGCCACCAGCTGGGTCAGAGGGATTCCCATGTCAGAACTATGCTCCAACCAGCCGAGATCACTGCTTGCACATTCACCCACTCTGGGCTCCTTTTTCCTAGGCTCACAAATCGCTGTCCTGACACCAGGGGACATAAGCAGCCCACAACCTGCATATCTACACTCCCTGACTTCTTCCAATATCTCAGACAGATGCCAAATGGTTCAGTAGACTGGAAAAACCCAGACTCATTCCCAAAGCTGGCACATTTAAGCAGAAAATGTCCTTTTGGGTGGCTTTGCCTTGGGAAAGCTCATCCCTAGGGACTGGATGGAACAGAGGATATGGCCTGAAGCCAGTCGTGCTCGCCGCAGGGAGGTCCCAAGGCCTCAGGCTCTGGGGAAAGAGAGACAGTTCTTCACCAGGCCACTCTGAGAGCAGATTTCAGACTCGGAGGCTGGACCCACTAACCGTGGATATGCCCTGAGCCCTTGGTGGGGAACGAGGCCCTCCAGGCTTGGACCTTCTATGTGGCATTCATCACTTAGGGTTGTGCTAGACATCGTCTCAGTTGTGGTGGTGGCAGCAGCTGGGATGGTGTGTGAGTGGTGTGGTTACTGTGGGGGTAGGGGTGGGCAACCTGGGGAGCCTCTGGTGCCTGAACAAGTGCTGCAGACTGCCCAACACGGGTAACAGAAACATTGCAGGAAGGGATGGGCCAAACAACCCATTTTCTGAGAACGGTCCATGGCTCCATTCAAGGGCTGCTTCCCAGCTGGGCTGGTTTTGCCCCCTAGGAAATCCTTGGCATGGTCTGGGGGGACACTGGCAGGGTGCTTTTCAGAGGGTTGGGGGAGTGAGTCAAGGATTTGGCACTGAGGGGGCTGACACTTCTTTCTGTTGAGGCTCAAGAGTGGACCTGCAGCAGGGTCCTCTGGCTGATATAATCACATCCCTCTTTGGCCTCCAGAACAACTGAGGAGGAGTGGTGAGCCATGTCCCAGGATCACTTGGGAGGCACAGACCCACTGCGGGTGTCCGGCTCAGGACAGGGGCTAGAGACAGTAATCCCCAGGGCCTCTGAATAAATCGTACCTTCTTGCCAACCTATTCCTGTTTCCTGGTCCATTGTGCCTACTCTTTTCCTCCTTGAGGCTTTTCACACCTTTTCTGTGGCTGTTCTCCCATTGCATGGAGGTCTCACTAGTCTTCATTCTTTGCTAATGAAAACAAAAACCCCAGGTGGCTGGGTGAACAGCCTTCACCCAGTCTCTGATTTTTCATTGCAACATAGCATTGTCCAGGGAGGGTAGTGAGGTGCAGTATACACAACTGGTGAGGTCAGAATCACAGAGCAACAGGCACAAGGGGCACCCAGGGAAGTGGATCTCAGGAGAGCTGATGGAGTTGGGTGGGGAAAAAAAGAGTTTGACTCCTGAGGGTAGGTCATAAAAATACATTGTGGCTTCTGTCTTGTTCTCTTGGATCCCTTACTTTGGAGGAAGACAGCTTCCAGATCATAAGGATACTCAGCCCCGGGAGAGGTCCATGTGACTCCTGAGGGTAGGTCATAAAAATACATTGTGGCTTCTGTCTTGTTCTCTTGGATCCCTTACTTTGGAGGAAGACAGCTTCCAGATCATAAGGATACTCAGCCCCGGGAGACGTCCATGTGACAAGGACATGAGGCCTGCCAGTAGCCATGTAACTGCACCATCTTGGAAGCTGAACCTCCAGCCCTAGCCAAGTCTTCGTATGGTTGCAGTCCTGGCTGACATCTTCATTGCAACCTCCACAAACGACTGGGAGCCAGAACCACCCGCAAAACTGCTCCAGAATTTCAGACACAGACAAATTGTGACCTAATAAATGTTTATTATTTAAAGCTAATTGGTGGGCTCGGCGCCTGTGGCTCAAGCGGCTAAGGCACCAGCCACATACACCTAAGGTTGCGGGTTCGAATCCCCAGCCCGGGCCCACCAAACAACAATGATGGCTGCAACCAAAAAATGGCCAGGCGCTGTGGCGGACACCTGTAGTCCCAGCTGCTTGGGAGGCTGGGGCAGGTGACTCGCTTGAGTCCAGTTGGAGATTGCTGTGAGCGTGATGCCATGGCACTCTACCCAGGGGGATAGCTTGAGGCTCCGTCTCAAAAATAAAATAAAAATAAAGCTAATTGGTGTTGAGATAATTTGTTATCTAACAATAAATAACTCAATACTCTTCTTGCCTGGGGTAGTGCAGAGAGGGGATTGATGAGTTTGTTAAGCATCATGGAGTCCTAGTCTTTGCTTAAAAGAGTACACAGGATCAGCTTAGTGCCTGTGGCTCAGTGGTTAGCATCAGCCACTTATACCAGGGCTGGCAGGTTCGAACCTGGCCCAGGCCTGCTAAGCAACAATGACAACCACAACCAAAAAATAGCTGGGTGTTGGGCGGTGACTAGGGCGCCAGCCCCATATACCGAGGATGGCAGGTTCAAACCCTGCCCTGGCCAAACTTTAACAAAAAGATAGCTGGGCATTGTAGTGGGTGTCTGTAGTCCCAGCTACTGGGGAGGCTGAGGCAAGAGAATCACCTAAGCCCAGGAGTTGGAGGTTGCTGTGAACTGTGTAAGGCCATGGCACTCTACCGAGCGTGATAAAGTGAGACT